ACGTCGTGATATATTATTTAATTTCGATTATTATCTCTGTTATTTTTTTATTATTTATTTGTGTATTATTTATTTTTACCTACGTGACTTTACCGAAAAAACCTAAGAGTATGGATCCTTGCAGTTACGAAAGCTTCAAATCTAGAATAATTTCCCCTTCACCGTTTTGCGGATTAGGATCCGTCTTAGGTTGCACGGTCACCTGTGAGATTATTTGAAAATTGTCGAGAAGAAAACAATAATCGGTGTCATCATTATTATAATCGGCCAATGTCTATCCACTGCTAGATGAAGGCCTGCCTACGTATAGTTGTTTGATCACAAGGCACTTACCGTGGAGCATTATGGGTAAAGTTATATGTACACAATGCTCCGCTCTATCCACTCGGTTTTTTAACCGCTTATTAGGCAATCAGACGTGGTTTCCCAAACCGATATGATCAAGAAGCGGAATATATTTTTTTTTACTGGTAGGAACCTCCTGGTTACACCAGCCCACAGGGGATTATTGTGTCCGTCGTGCAGGGAGGGGCTAGGTAAGGAGGGAGGGGCTGGGTGGGGAGGGGCTGGGTGGGGAGGGGCTGGGTGGGGACGGTGGGGCTGGGTGGGGAGGGGAGGGTGGGAAGGGGCTGGGTGGGGAGGGGCTGGGTGGGGGGTGGGAGGGGTGGGGCTGGGTGGAGAGGGGAGGGGCTGGTCACCCCGTGGTGCCCTTATAAAACTCAACGTTTAACCTACTCACGCCGGCTTGTGCCCGCCCTCACAGTCGGGCATATTTGCGGAATACACCACGCCGCCGTTGACCCTGGCCATTGACCGAGCAACCCAACGTTCCGACCAGCTCCCTCCGCAGGAATGTGTTAAAGCACGAAAACTGCACTCATCAGCAGCAGTCAGACGTGCTCACAAAAGCTTCTAGATTCCAACACCTTATTGGCAAGAGCCCTCCTTCAACATCATGGGGCCCTGTTCAACGCAAAGAAAAGGTTTACCATGTTACACAAACATCATGCACGATGATAATTGTTTTTTTACCCTTCTATCTGGCAACAAAACTGACACCTTTTTTTGGTGTCAGTTTTGTTGCCAGATAAAAGGGTAAAAAACCAAATATCATATTTTTACTGGCAAATGAGGTTCCCATAGTATCATGCACGATGATCGCGGTTTGTGTTAATTCAAGGCTGAGTCGAACTAGAGGAGGCCCCGGACCGGTTCTGATATTACTCGCCCCCCCCCCCCTCCCGATGAAAGCCGTGACTGGTAATCGAACTCAGATGAGCGGTCGGATTTCGAGTGTAGTGCACCAACCACTGCGTCACCGCTCCCCCCACTCCACTGATCCGTTATATGTACAGCATTTGTTTTATTTGAGGCGCAAACACACAAATATTTGCTGGTTTATTCCAGGATGTTTCTGTTGCGCGTCGTCGCTTTGGGATGTTCTGTGTTCATATTTTGTTTGTTGCGGTTGCACCCGACTTAAGAGCCGCATGGCTCACAGGGCTATATACCTGATACATGAAACTTGAACCAGGGGTTAAGGTAATCTGGCAACTGTGGAGGCTCGAGTTGGTGGACTGCGCTGGTGTGTGCGTGTGAAACTCACAAACCGCTTGCCTGCGATATGACCAGGAGATGGCAGCACAGCAAGTGTTATTGGAGTCATCGATAACGGAGCTTTGGAGCCTCTAATCCCTTTATGCATGTGTGGGTTTTCTCCAGATGCTTCGGTTTCCTCCCACAGACCCAAGCACGTTCACGGAATTATCCAAAGTAATGTACGATCGTAGCTTGCATCAATGTTAAATCTTGACTTAAAGCTTTCGTGACTGCAGAAATTCATATTCTTTGGGTCTTTCGGTAAAGTCATGTTGATCCGTTCAAAGAAAATATCAAAATAACAAATTGTTATTTTATTTGAACCTATCTACGTGACGTTACCGAAAGACCCAAATAATATTTGCATCAATGTTCTTTGCTAAACATTATCAGGTCTACCTTGAGAGAGAGAGACGATATCAGTGGGCTCACCTGATTCTTAATGAGGATTATCTCTCTTATATGTTACAAATGAAAGTGAAAAGTTATTTCCTGTTGAAATGAGCATTGAGCCGGTGCCCATCAGCTGTTTAAAGCCCCGTGTTGGTGGATTGACTTTTCCACAAATCTAAAAGCGGGAGCAAGGCTATCCGTGTTGACGTCCCTACCAAGTGGTACTTATTTTATCAATCCCTGCCAAGTCAATTCCCGGCCAGGATTTAAACAGGAAACCTTCTAGATTGCGAGTCACTCGCTCCACCGCTGAGCCACCTGGCAAGTTTGTTACGGATACGCATCAACGGTCTATCTTGAGAGAGAGAGAAAGAGACTCGCTGTTCCATGCTGCGCTATGAACATGGCCACCTGAGTTCTATTGCCTACGGGGTATAACGTCAGTTTTCCGAGTAACATCTGAACAGGTCCTGAGCTCCTGCCTCTTCGCCAACCCACACTGACCAGCAAACAACCCTGATGACGAATACAACGAGGGGAGGCCTTCATCCAAGTCGTGAATTGACCATGACTGATGATGCCGATTATTCAGCAGCAGCGAATTTATATTTGCATGAGCATTTTGAGACGTAATTCTAGGTTTTAATAGGTGCCTATTATTGCTTTATTTGACAGCAAATAATATCTGCTTCACGCTGTGGTCTAAACAAAAGCCGTGATTGTTTATCTGACGCACCGGTCATTCCTCTTGATTTCGCTCAAACTAAAACAGAGCTGGCAATCCTCGGTCAATACGCCTCGCACTGTGATTTCTGTACAATATTGCACTGGCAGAGAATCAACTAACTCTGCGAAGGGCACGGCGTGTTTCAACAAGCACGTTTGTTCAGCTCAATGCAGCCCCTGCAATTGATTGCTCTCAGATCACTTCTGGCAAAACACGGGACCTCCTCCGACATAATAAAATAGATTCTTCAAAGTGTCGTGATTTTCATGGTCTCAGCCTCGTCATCAACGACTCGAAGATAAGTATTAGAGTAAATTTGGGGTTTGCACTTTATTCCACTAAATTCTTGCTCTGAGAATCATAAAACAACCACAAAAAATCTGACTTTTGTGTGACAAACATTACTTTGTGATCAGGGTTAGTGTGAAAGAGCTGCGCACCCCGTGTGCGTAAGGAGGTTATCCGAAGTCACCTCAGACATCATTCTGTGGCTGTTCTCTGACACTGGGGGGTTGCATTGTCCGACGACGGTTTCCGAATGGATGCTACGTCTCGTGCAAGGATGTCGGTAGCATAATCGGCATACAATTTGAGAAAAATACCCATTTTTTATTAGCCTGACAAGAAACTGTACAGTGTATGAAATCACTGCAATGCTGATGTTGCCAACCGAGCGATTTAACATTTGGTCCCAAAAAATTTAATCTATTTATCTGCATATTCAACAAATAAATGACTCGCATATGGTCTTTCCCTTAGTTATGTGTATATATATTCACCAAGGCATCGCCATCATCATTTTCAGATGATGTAATATACTATTTGACCAACTGTTACCCGCTGGCCTAGACATCGTGGACAAAGTTGGAGTACCCCCCCCCCCCCCCCCCACATTCTACTCCACACAGAGGCGACCTGCACCGTCGTTTCCACCCCCACACCGCGAAATCGAACCAGCGACACGTCCGGAGTTCGAGCTCAGCGTGCTAACCATCACCACCGCCGTAGCTGCGTGCAAACACCAACCACCATTGCGAACGGCTGCATAACTAATGACGAGCGCGCGTACTCCCTACAGCGTAACGATGTTGAGTGAATTGACGATTCTGTGACACGCGTGCGAGCGCGTGGAGGCGGTGCGGTTGTGGGTGCACGGAGAGAGTGACCGAGAGAGTGACCGAGAGAGTGAGCGAGAGAGTGAGCGAGAGAGTGAGCGAGAGAGTAAGCGGGAGAGTGAGCGAGAGAGTGAGTGAGAGGTGGGGGTTTTACATAAAGCAAAGTTTAAAAAAAAATTACGAAATGATGACCGAAACAAAGTGCCGATTACACCGAGCATCTTCTTGTTTCCACTGATCGTAAAAAAAAGAGAGAGGAGAGAGAGAGATAAAATCGTGATGCATGCAGGGGCAGCGATGTGCCTCTAGGAGGCATAGGAATAAGTCTGGTTGCTGACCTAGGCAGATTTTATTGCAGTGTTATCCACTTTACGTGTGTGTATTTGTTTCTCCCAGGGAAAAACAAGTTATGCCGAAAAATACGTTTTAGTTTTCAGAATTGGACAAATATTCTAAGCAGGGGTGTCCTGAGAGTTTACAGACTCAGTGGAGGTTTTTTCTGGGTGGTAAGCAAAAACGTTGACTGTTTCACACGGAATTAATGTTTTTGTTATATTATGATAATAATTATTTTGACAATGTTCTTTTTTTTCTTAAACACCTGATTAGATATGCTCGAGTCTATCAGAGTCTACCCTGTTACTTCTGAGATCCATTGCTGAAATCCGGACAGCTGTCCCTGATTAAACCAAATCTCAAGTGCAGTGGGTTGATGGTCTCAGCCTGGTCACCAAAGGCTGTAAAACAAATCCATTGCATAACCTTTGGCTTTGCACTTTACATGACTGACTTACAGCTCTGATCATTCAAAAGATATCGGTCAAACTGTCGTGTGACAAACATTACTCGGAAGCAGCGTGAGCGAAAAAGTGTTGCCCCCCTTAATGGGCGTACGCAATCATTCGAGGCGATGTCGGAAATTGCTACGCGGCATTTGTTTCCACGGACCGTCCTCTACCACTGGGTATTGCATTGGTTTGCAAAACAATTTTTTGTAAAATAAAAAAAATCCCCAAAAGTCGTGTAAAAAGTCTGACGAAAACCTGTAGATAGAATCACTCCTGTAGATGCTGTTGCCAACCAAAAATGCAACGTTTGATTTAAAAAAAAAGTTTATTTGGCTAAATATCCAAAAGTGATTATTCAGAGATGGCTCTTCTCCGCAGTTGGTAAGCCTACATCTCCTTTCGCGACATCATCCTAACCTTTGGACCGAACGGTGTGGCTTTGACCAGGAAAACAACATCGCTGCCGTTTACGGGAAACGCCGGAGCGAGCATATCAGTTGAATGTTGACACACTGTGATGATCAACTTTACTCCAAGGCAGGTCAATAGATAACCCAGACAAAAAATCAACAAGTGCCGGGCGGCAGTGAAGTCGAGGCACGTGGATTCACGACCCCGTGAACCGACCAACGTGGCCCCCCCGTCCACAAAGAACTACCCTCTATTGTTCCACGTTTTATTGGTTACTTTTGAAAACCTGTGCACAAACTTTGCGCTGAACCACGCGCGGTTTGCATTCTCGGTTCAATACTGCTGGGAGCGGACCGTGCGTGCATGTGCGAACGGGCAGACACACACACACTGCCGACGACGACGATGATGATGGTGACGATGCTATCTCTGCCTCTCGTCTTGACGCTGAGTGTCACATCGTGGGCCCTTCCCGTGACCCAACCGCCGGACACCTGCGTCGTCTTCTGGAGGTCATCGCACCTGCCAGACAACAGTAAAGAGTTGGCGATAAATCATCTGGATCCACGGGAATTAATGACCGCCAAGCAGAGCGTTCTTCTGGCCATCAACGCCTACAATACCCACGACCCACACCCTCGGTGGTACGAGGAGCGTGGACTCACGGAGATGTACGCGGTGGTGAGTGGACGCTTTCTCTGTCCAACATATGGACGATGTGCCATGCAGTGGGATGTGTGATGGGATAGGCCAAGAGGAATGACAGAAAACGAATGCCCATAGCATTTAACGGAAGACAGAATACCCATAGATTGTATAGAGAAAATTGAAATGCACTTAGACTACATTGTAAATGGAATTCTCACGTGCATACAAAGCCCGTTTGTGCCAATCTTCATCTTCTTTCGTACGGCAGTTTTTAAAATGTATTTCTAGTCGAATGGATAAGTTTTGCTGTCGACCAATTCCAAGGGGGCAGTGGACGCCGCGCGGCGTCGTCAGCGGCACCGCCACGATGCGTCTGCACGGACGGCGCGTCCGTCCGTCCGTAGTCGTCGGGTGACAACGGCTTGAACGTCACCGCGGTCGCAGTTCGACGAATCTTTGACCGTCCGTTCGCGGAAGGTGCCCGCGCGCGCGCGCGTGCGTCTGCCACGTTGCGTTCGAGCGCGCGGTGCAGCGGAGGTCCGCGGTGCGTGCCGCGGGGGAAAGAAGTCCCGACCCTTCCACAGTCTCAATGGGCTTTGTTTCAGGTCAATTTAATTTTTGTTTGTTTGGCCTTAGCACGTGGAGCCTTTCTGGTACAAATCTGCCACTCGAAGCTTTTGTTGCGTGGCCGCCTGCGACTACGTCCAGCGAGTGCCGATAGTTTTTATTCTCGGCTGCGAGAGCGGAGTCGCGCATCCGGAAAGTTTTTTTTTATTTTCCCGGATTTCAGCCGACGGCGTGGGGGGGGGGGGGGGTTCTCGTAGGTCTTGTCGGAGCGGCAGAGGCGACGTTGTCCAAAATATCGTGGTTACTCACGGGCCGTCGCGGCTTCGGTGACCCGCTGGGTGAGGGCCTCCCCGCACCGCATCAGACTGTGGAGGTGTGCCAGTTATTCGTGCCATGCTTCGCCACGCTGGTCAATGTGGATTGGTGAAAACAACTCGCAAAATTACTCGAGTGCGTCAAATCACACAGCAACATCGCCCTCGTAGCGCCTTTGCGAAAGCCTTGCTCTGTCAGGACTACACGGAAACCAAATATTATTCAATTATTATTACCATCGACGAGGGAATATCGTGCACTAGAATTCTAGATGTTTTAGCAATGAGCATAACATCGCGCCCACAGCGTGTTGGTCGCTCATCATGACGATGTCCCGAGACCTGACGAGATCGGGGGGTGCATTCGGGGTGGGTTTTGTCATCGGCGTGTCTGGTGAGTTCGCTCCCTGTGTTCTCCTCCAATCTGTAGTGGAGGGGAGGCTTGAAGGGCTCAATGCTGCCCAGGGTCAAATAATCAAAGTGTCTCCCCATCTCGATTTAAAGCTTTCGTGACTGTAGGGATTCATATGTTTGCTTCTTTCGGTAAAGTCACGTAGAAGGGAAATAATAAAATTATAAAAATAAAACATAATAATTATTTTTATTTTATTATTTCCCTTCTACGTGCCTTTACCGAAAGAACCAAGAATATGTTTCCCCATCGACAAATGAACACGGCGTGGTAACCACTCAGTCATGGGTAATGCATGTGGACTGGATGTCTCGACAGTTTCATCATCACCATTATCATCAGACATGGTCAATCCACTGCTGGATAGATACATCCCCAAGCCGTCCCCATCGCTCACAATCAAGAGATGGGGATAATCCACCGCGCACCTGCACAGCAATTAATTTGACCGCTCCATCTCCACGGTAGACATCCTGCGCCCAGAAGGTGCTGGGTGAATGTTTGCCTCTGACGATCGTTAGTGGTGGCATAAGCTTGGGGAAGTCTCATTCAGCAGTGGAATGATATATCTCACAATCCTGATATGTAATAAGCCACGTAACTTCTACGCACAAGCTGATGTCATTGCTCCATCTCCCCTGTGCACGTGCTATCGGACACGTTTCATTCCTTGGCTGACACTCCATTATTATTTTTTACCATCGAGTAATCGTCCCATCAAACCATCAGTCCAGCCCAAGCCCACTTGCTTTAGTTGATCAAGAAAATTAAAACATATGTTCATCTCGGCAAAAAAACTTCGGTGCCAACCTGTGCAGTACATGCAAAAAATGCGTCTTAAATTGCAAAACATCACAAGGAGCCGCCGCATGCTTTTTGCATGTCAAGACGACATCGCCATCCTTGCGTTCATTCTTCTGCACACAGCCGTTGTGATGGCAACCAGCGCAAAAGAAGCTGAGAGTTTAGGCATCAGAAGGAACACAAAGCAACTGGATGTCATTTTCACCCCCCCACCCCCCTGCCTTCGTCTAGCAATAATCACACGCGTCTTGCACGTGCAAATGAGGAGAGACGTCATTCAAATTGAATTGAAATTCCCGTGCTGGTTTGCCCGTTGGTCTCGTGGGTGCCGGGTAACGTGCGGGTGCGTGCGCGTGCGTGCGCGTGCGTGCGTGCGCGTGCGTGCGCGTGCGTGCGTGCGTGTGTGCGCGTGCATGCGCGTGCGTGCGTGCGCGCGCGACTCCTTTCAAAGGACGCGGACGGGGGGGAGAAGCAATTCCTCGTGACGTTCCACGTGGCCGAGACGAAGTGCCCAAACAGCCGAGAGCGCTTCAAGCACGCCTTCTGCGCGGATCGCGAGAACGCGGTGAGTGTGTGTCTCGGCGTGCGCGTTTCACTCCCCCTGTTAGCTAAGACACACGACGCGTGTTGCGTTCAAGGGCTCGACTGGTTGGAGCGTGTTTCCTTGGAGACGATAAATGTACGGATGCATTTTAACAATTGAATGCTCCATCAATTCTTCAGGAGCGCACTCCGCCGTCTTCAAAATGCGCATTGGCCTCACCTCTGTCCGCCTCTCCCCTCTCATCTCACTCCGCTCCCCTCCAAAAACTCTCCTCCTGCCTCTCCCCTCTCATCTCACCCTACTCCCCTCCACACACTCTCTCGCCTCTCCCCTCTCATCTCACTCTACTCCCCTCCAAAAACTCTCCTGCCTCTCCCCTCTCATCTCACTCCACTCCCCTCCACCCTCTCATCCTGCCTCTCCCCTCTCATCTCACTCTACTCCCCTCCACGCACTCTCTTACCTCTCCCCTCTCATCTCACTCTACTCCCCTCCAAAAACTCTCCTGCCTCTCCCCTCTCATCTCACTCTACTCCCCTCCACGCTCTCTCCTTCCTCTACCCTCTCATCTCACTCTACTCTCCTCCACGCACTCTCCTGCCTCTCCCCTCTCATCTCACTCTACTCCCCTCCACGCACTCTCCTGCATCTCCCCTCTCATCTCACTCTACTCCCCTCCACGCACTTTCCAAGGTCACCGCAACCAATGCTTTTTTATTTGGCCAAGTCTTCAGCCACGCATCCCTCACTCCCTGTAGCTCTTCAACTCAAGGCTCAAACCCGTCCTTGCTCCCCCCTCTGTGACGGACTGCCTATGTATATTAAATAAATAAATGCGCACCGTATCTGTAGAGGGTGTTGAAAAGCAGTCCCATTTCGAGACGATACAAATCCAGACCGCATAATATACGTTCTGTAGGCATTCCATGGCCTTCGAATCTGCCACTCCCCGGCACTACGTTGCACATTATCCCCGCTCTGTGAAGTGCGGCGATTACTCTCCCTGTCGATTGCCTGCGTTGCGGCCCTGACGTTACAGATCCGTGGCTGCTGCATGGCAAGCGTGTCGGCATTGTCGGGAAAGGGACTCAAAGCCAATTACGTCATATGCAATGTCAACGCCACGGGGAATGAGACAGGTAAGGGCGTTGCGCTGCTAAGTGAGGCCGGGTGGCGTGAGTGGTAACCAATTGTGGCGGACAGCGAGACGTGCCTGAGTTTGATTCCCAGCTGAGGTGCCTTTGTGTGTGGAATTTGTTGTTATGGTTCTCCCCACTGTTCTGCGTGGGTGTCTCCTGGCTTCTCCAGTTTCTTCCCATAGCAAAATAAAACCACAAAAACATACAACTTTAACTGGAATTAGACATACATCCCAGTGATAAAAATTACCTTCAAGTTACTCAATTGGGAGAACATTCGTAGCAACATCGCCCCTGCAGCTTACAACTTGGCAACACCTTACCGAAGAGCTTCTGGAGACTTTGTGAGACGACTTTTCTGGGTAAAAAATTAGAATAGTAATAATTAATTAAATATCACTTATTATTATTTTTATTAAATACGTATAAAGTTGTGCTTCCGTGCGGTTAAACACGCAATTGATCAGCATCGGGCACGTTTCAATGTCCGGTGACACTCTCCCCCCCCCCCCCCTTGATCAATAAGCATGAAGGTTAAACTGTAACACATAATGGGCTCATATCATGCGCTGTCACAGCCGTCTGTGCTAGACGGGTGTGGTCACGACTCAATTCGCAGCGCTCCCAAAACAATCGTAGCCCACGCGTTCATTCCGTTCGTTCGCGATGGCAGCACTAGCGGCTGCGAAACATCATTAAGGGTGATTGGCACTCCTCCGGGAACAATAACCTTTAAGAGGCGCTTAACAGTTCGATGCCGTCGAGCTGCCGGCATAGATCAAGACATTTACTTTTGTGCACGTAGTTACACAATGCTCTCCGAATTGTGCAGTCGGAGTGGTGATTCTGCGATCTTGGCGTCTGCCATTCCACCCTCAACCCTCCCGCTTACCTCCGTACGAGGTGGGAAGCAAATGTGGCGTTGTTATCTATATATTTTTTTAACGTAACTTTTTCTTGGAACACACTGACGGAAGGAAAATACAACTTAGTAAATGTTTTGCCATTGAACAAAAATAAAACTTCAATATTGAACACTCAACTTGTTCGGGAGGAGAGGCTGGTTGAAACGGGTATCCCTCTTACAAAACGAAATAATTCGCGGACAATTAACGCGAGCCCCGTATCCCCCCTTGGATAGAATTGTCTTGAGCCCCATCAAGGCTGCCGTGAGAATCCAGAGAATCCAGAGGTCTGAGCGGTGGCCAGCGGCGTTGTTGCTCTCGGCCCTGGTGCAAGTACCATCCTGGGGGGGAGGGGGGAGGGGGGAAGGGGAGGGGCGGTGGGAGGGAGTTTGAAGGGAGGGGAGTGGGGGGATGGGTGGGTGGGAGGGGAGGAAGGGAGGGGGGTGGGGGGGGAAGGGAGGGGGGTGGCGGGGGAAGGGAGGGGGGTGGAGGGGAATGGAGGGGGGTGGGGGGATAAGGGAGGGGGTGGGGGGAAGGGTGGGGGGGAAGAGTGGGGGGGAAGAGTGGGGGGGGGAAGGGTGGGGGGAGGAAGGGTGGGGGGGGAAGGGTGGGGAGGGGAGGGGAAGGGTGGGGGGGAAGGGAGGAGGGGTGGGGGTGAGTCCCCTGCTTATTCCCCCCCCCCTCCGTCTTTGTAGCCTGCTACCTGCCCCCCCCTCTCCGGCTCACCGCATGAGCGCAGGCGGACTTGATCGCACAGTGATTCCGAATGTTGCGGCTACACACGCTCTCAGAGCGCCGGCGGGTTCCCCCCCAGCCCCAGCCCTAGCCCCGCGACTCCCACACGTTCACCAACTGTCTTTGCCCCGCAGAGTTCTACTGGGTCAGCGAGCGGACCGTCGTGTCGCAGGATGAGCCCCCGGCCGTTCCCGCCGCCGTCACGGAAGCCGCGATCCAGTTGGCGCTGTACAACATGACCTCCTCCGTGGCGCTCATCCTCGACTCGCTCAACACCAACCTGTGGCACATCCAATATGCGCAGTGGATTGTGAGTGGTGGTGGTGGTCCCGTGACCTGCCAGCTAGGTGGCGGGGAGGGGGGGGACTTGGTGATGTCCTCCGCATCGGTAGAAACAGAGGGCTGAGAGTGTTTTAATGGGGGGGGGGGGGGGGGGGTTTCCCACCTTCAGGAGGCAATGGTATCGAGGTGGGTGCCATGTTTAGAGGGCATCGGTGTAATTGTAGAGCTGTCCACTCAATCAACGCATTGCATGATATTTAGTCGAGGCTGAGCAGAAAGAGGCAGGCATGGTTACATCGGTATGTCCGATGAACTGAACTTCTTTCGCGCCGTACGTAGCCAACCGTGCTAATGGGAGGTGCGGGAGAGGCAGAGAGGATGGGAAGGAGCAAAGTTGGGAGCGATCAAGGAGGGGGTAAGGAAGAAGAGAGGGGGAAATAGTAAAAATACACAAATAAAGGATAAAACAGTGGCAGGACGTGAGACGATTTGTAAGAGAGGAGTCTCTGGTCAAGTGGACTCACCGACAGGCAGACAGAGGCTGAACACAACGATCCCGAGGGTGGTTTGCAATCGCGTTACAATGCGTAAACTCTTACATCGTCACGTCACTTTGGTTCATATCACCCTCTGGGGGTTGCCACAGTAACATTTGACATCAGCTGCACGCGTAATTTTTTTGAAGTCAGGTGTAATCACTGCCACGTGCTTTGAAGAACACAACGCTGCCGACGATACATGTCTGGGTTTTACCGTTTTGGCGCCACGTCTATTCCTATTTTTTGTAATTTGTTTTTCAATATGTTCTCCCCCAAATTCAATGATAAACCCCCCGCTCATGTCTTGAGACGGAGTGTCCATTCAGAGCTCTCGCAGAGGGGCGCATCACCCTGTTTTACAGAACTACTTGTGACGTCCCATCAAATCACTTCTTACGCACATTCGTGGCACAGCTCTTTCCCATCCGCACTGCGACGGAGAAATACATTTTTGCACGAGACTGATATTTTATTTCTCAGTTTGGGACAACCCCTCGACACCCGAGGGAAGGGAGTTTCAAAACATTCGTGCAATCCACCAGCCCTCGCTGCTGCCTCCGCAGTTGCTGGATTAAATACCCACCAACTCGCTACACCAGAGCTACGTGGTTAAAATCACAGGTGGCTGAAACCCGAATTCAAAGCCAGGTCTCAACAGTGCCGGTTCAAAGATTTTACCCCCCCCCCCCCTTATTCATCCAACAATCATTTCTTTGTTACTAAGCCAGGGGTCGGCAACCAAAATAACAAGAAAAGCAATTTTATTCGAAATCAGTAACAACAACAAAAATCTACATTTCAAAAGCCACAAATATGAGACGGTGATGGTCCGTAATAAACAACCTCACGAAGCGGTCCTAAAGAGCCGCATGCGGCTCCAGGGACACCACGCTGCTGATCCCTGCTCTGAGCCAGATATAAGAGGCAGACTCTGCGTGTGTTTATCATTTCCAGAGGCAGGAAGGAAGTGAGAAGATCACGTTGGAAGTGAGCTCCACGCTCACGACAAGCACCAAAGTCGTTGATCCGCGGGATGAGACGGACGGCTTCTGCCCCTCTGGGAAAGTGAGTATAGCCCATTGGAACCTCCTTTGCCAGTAGCAAAATATGATTATTGTTTTTTTACCCTTTAATCTGGCAACAAAACTGACACCTTTTTTTACAAGGAGTCATGGTTGCAATGACCACAATACCTGCAGTCGGAATGCAAACAAAAAACACAACTCTGGTCATGTATGCACTGTCCTTGAAATTGATTGGTCCACACCCGAGACAGCTTTCTTTAGAGCCTAGTCTCACATGGTATTGGACCAGATGACGCCAAAAGGTGCACAACTCAAAGACAATGCACCATCAGAGTAAGAGAGCTCGGGGTAAGCATTTACACCATTGGAACCTCCTTTCCCAGTAGCAAAATATGACCATTGGTTTTTTACCCTTTAATCTGGCAACAAAACTGACACCTTTTTTACAAGGAGTCATGTTTGCATTAACCACAATACCTGCAGTCGGAATGCAAAAATGTGGTCAATGCAAACATGACTCCTCGTAAAAAACGGTGTCAGTTTTGTTGCCAGATAAAAGGGTAAAAAAACAATTATGAGTATAGCCCATTGCCATCATAGCCCCATACAGCTAGAGTTTCCACCTGTTTTGGTCGGATTTAATGGACACAGATAAGTTAGTGACCAGTGGTGCCTCGACTTGTCTTGGGCATCACCTCGATTGACTCAGCCTTAAATTAGTACACGTGACCTTTTTGTCGACATCAGCGGATTCGGTGCTAGGCCCAGCACCACTTTGGTCTTGATAGGCGCTCCCTAAAACAGCCACTTGCCAAAAGAGTATATCGAGGCCACGTGGGTGATCTCTGTTGCTTTGTGTCTGTGTGTGTGTGGGGAGTGGTAGTGCAGCGGTTAGCGCTACGCTGCGCTACGAACGAATCCCACTGGCGAATAATAACAGTGGCGAGTATTTGAACTGGTCCTGGGTCATCCCTAGATCGACTCAACCTTAAAATGAGTACCTGGTGCAATGTCTAAACATCGTCACTCGGGAGACAAAGGCAGCCGCCGTGCGCGGTGGTGGTCACCCACGACCCCCCCTGTGCCGTGTCGGTCTTTCATAGGCGCTCGCTCAAACAGCGCTTGCCCCAACAGTCTGCTAGGGCTACAACGAGTGCCGTTCAACCTTCGCGTGCCCCCGCCGTGTGCTCGTTTCACCGCTCGCAGATGAACGCCGACTGCACCACGACGGTGACTCTGGCCAAGTGCAGCAACAGCAACAGCAGCAAACGCTCCGGCAAGCGGTGCGATTCTGAGCCGCAGCTTGCCGGGACCAGCGGGTGGACGTTGGAGGACGTGGAGAGCGATTGCGACATGACATGCAGCGCTGCCGTGGGTGTACGCTAACCGGCGGCGGAATGACGCGCGCGAGCGTGTGTCTCTTCGCCCTCCTTTGCGACTCCACGCGATGCACTCTCGTTACTTGCCCGACAGTTGCGGCTCGTGGCTCTGGGACGAATGTCTGGGACACCGAGGCCTCGTGCACGCGCGTGCGTGCGTGCGTGTGTGTTTGGGGAGCGGTGGTGTAGCGGTTAGCGCGCTGCGCTACGAACCCGGCGACACGGGTTCGATTCCCGCTCACGGCTAACACCAGTGACGGTTATCTGAACCGGTCCCGGGCCTCCCCTAGTGTCGACTCAGCCTCAAATGAGTACCCGGTGCGGGTGTGTAAACATCGCCACTGGGGAGACAAAGGTGGTCGGGCGTGGTGCTGGCCGCCCACCCAATCGTGTACCGTTCTGGCCTTCATAGGTGCTCGCTAACAGCACTTGCCCCTTCAGTCTGTTAAGGCTATACAGGGGATCTTTATCTTTGTCTTTGTTTGCCCAGTTAAAAATTGGCACTTGAAGGGAAGGGGGTTAATGTAATGATTGGGAATCCGATTGAAGCTGCTTCAAGGTGAGAAGGGCCAAACCGAGGCACGTGACTTAACAGCAGGATTGAAATCTCGATAGTTTAGTACCGATGGATTTCTTGGTAAATTTTAGTTTTTCCATAAATTCTGGTTGTTAATTTAACAAAACAACACACACGTATCAGCAGATTTATATTCTCTGCCCCTCCCCCCCAACTCATAAATTTAAATATGTTTTAGTCAATCAGACTTGGCTTTACAGACCAAAACTAGACAGCAGCAGCAAGCAAAGTCCGGATCGGTTTCAATCTTCTGGGTCTCATTAGCAGAGTCAGGCTTCCTGTTGAATAATATTGGCCGAAAAAGCTGATGTTCCAAACAATGTTTGTTCATACACGTTAAATTATGCTTCTATGTGCTTACTCAACGCATAGTAAGTTCTAATCAAATCCCCTCTTTGTAAACAATCACAGCAAGTAACCTATCTCATAGCAGTGGTCTTCGGGGGCTTTTCTGCATCACCACAGTCGATGTTAGAAAAGCACGTATGTTTTGAAAGTGTAAATGAAGTCGTTAATGAGTTGGGGGGAAAACACGTGTCGGATCTTGGAAGCTAAGCAGGATTTTTTAACCTGACAGGTGACCACCATGGGATCTTGCCTGGTGATGGACGCTTGGGGCTGTGCTGAATAGTAATGAGAAAACATCCCAATGCAGAACTCTCCTGGCACGGGTCTCGAGACAGTAATTTATTCCTGAGTAAATAATTATCAAAACTGTCCGTCATTATTGGCCATGATCGATCCACTGCTGGATGAGGGACTGCCCAAGCCGCCGCCGCCTCTCACGATCTTGAGGTGTATTAATCCTAAACTCAAACTATTTTTTATTTTACCAGGTGAGGCCCACTGAGCTATATAGGTATTTTTCAGAAGCGGACTAGTCACAAATGATAGCCCAACGAAGTGGCTTATCGTGTGGAAATGTTTCGCAGCCAAATACTCTCAAAGCATATTTCTAAATATGGAGGGGCAAAAACCGGAGGAACCCGGAGAAAAATCCACATGACTACAAAGAGAGAGACACACATAAACTCCAAATATACAGTCAGAGGTCGGAATCGAACCCACGAACTCCTGCAAACGCGGCGAGGGAGTTAACATCTCGCCACCGCGGCACCCTCCACCTCGCACATGCACAACAAGTAATGTCATCGCTCCATCTCCACGGTCGTCATGCTGCATCTAGAAGGTGCTATGTGGATTATTGCATCTCATGTTCGTGAGAGTAGGTTGTGGCTTGGCGAGGCCTTCACGCAGCAGTGGATTATGGCTGAATGATGATGACGAATAGTAGTGACATTTTTTTAATCATCGCTCATACCGATATGAAATGGTGAAATGAGAGAAAGGGTGCGGGTTTTGGGGGAATTCTATTTTAACGTTGCACGTGGCAGCAAAATGTTCACGAGCTAAATGCCAACGCCAAGGTGCGATGGCCACAGGGGAGCTTCGGGAAAGAGTTCGTTGTAGTTTTTCTCTTCTCTCCACCGAGGGAGCTCATACTACGGTGGACGACTCCGTGGTCCATCGTTTGGGAGTTGAATGACCACAATGGCACCGCGGCTTGGTCGCGTCTTTTGATGTGGGAATTGTCACAGCGCTGTTAGAAAGTTCCCATTTCACTGTCGTCCCCGTGTTGTGCTGTCGCTCAGGGATTGTCGCGCGTGTCTGGAGGCAGCGGAAGGTGCCCCAAAAAGGTCATGAATACCAAGCGACGACTATTCTGCTGCCGCTCCATAGCGTGCCAGTGAAGCTGACGGGCTGGTCCGAGACGCCAAACTCCTCCACGTGTGCACGATACGAGGGGCTAATAACACTTTCACCCCCCTCCCCGGCCACTGCCGCTACAACAGTCATACACGGCTCTCATTCCGCACACACAGGAGGGTGGGGGGTTGCAAAATCGAGGCTGAATTCGCAAAAATAAAACATCCTCGTTGCGTGGAAACTCACCACCGTCGCAGGATGAAGTGGAATATCCCACGCGATCGGTGAGGTTGGGAGCAAAGTGGTGAGATGGGGGGTTCCATCTGGAGAGAGTGGTGTCTGCCCCGTTTGTTGTTTTATTTATTAGTACATTACCTCCCACTCGTAGACGCGCTGCAATAAGCTGCGGTGCTCGATCCTGGTCTCAAGCAGTCATGGATGAAGTGTGCTGCACGCTGTATCACCAAACTGGACTCCAGCATAATCACTATCCTCAAAGGTCAATCATTATAATAATAATGCCTTTTTGTAATATTATTGGTGTCTTGTGGATACTCTGCAATATGCGAGACACCGCCTGGATAAAAAAAAACAAGTGTGCTGTGCAGACGTCCGAACCATGGGCTAATGGGAACACCATGCGAGCAAAGATTAGATTTCCCCTGCGTGGAATAGGACGACTTTCTTACGCAGTCTACAGCGCAGCACAGACGTTTCCTTCGAATAATTAGAACGTTGACACCGTATCCACAGTGCTATATTTACACACTCGTGTGTACATGGCTCCCAGTTTTTTTAGGGACCCCCCAAAAGAGTGTCCTTCTTGATTAACCTCTTCGTATATCTGGCTGTATCTCTCTGTCTTTGTACCTATCTCTCTGCATGTCCCTCTCCACGTGGCTCCGTGTCTGTATTTCTACATCGCATCTTTATTTGTGTGCCCCTATCTCGACGTACATATTGCCACATTGAACTCTACGTCATCGGCGTGTCTGCCTCTCTGTGTCTTCACGTCGCCTTTCGCTCTCCGTATCTATCTGCGTGCGTCCGTCTCTCGCTGAGTGTGCACATTTCTTCTCCGGTCGTGTGTGTGTGTGTGGGCAGCGGCAGTGTAGTGTTTAGCGCACTACGCTACGAATCCGGCGGCCCGAGATTCGATTCCCAGTCACGGTGAACATCGGTGTGACGTGCCGGTCGTGCGTCCGCCACCACTCCTCATCCAGCCCACCACCCCTGCCCCAGGTCGCATCGTATTCACACGAGTCCCGAGTACGGTGCGTGAACATCGGCAGCTCCCCAACATACAGCGGCTTGCTTTTGGCTCAGCCATCAAACAAAGGCGGTGGTCACGGCATCGCGCGGCGCTTTCAGATGCGCTTCCGCGGCCGTCGGGAACACGCTTCCGTTCCGATACTAGGAAGCCCCTGGAGCTATGCACTTTAAAAAGTGTGGTTCTGCCAGACCCCAACCCCTTGTGTTGTTGCGTGACGGCCTTGATGGGTGCTCGCTGCACGGGTGTTCCTTGTTTTTCTGCGCGTCTCGATCTTACCTTTCTCTCTCTGCGTCTGTCTGCGTGTCCATTGCTCCAACTAGGCCCCCCTCCAGACCCACCTGCACAGGGCACCACTTAGTGCTGACATGTCTCTGTACATTCACACACGCACAAATATCTCCCACGGTCAGCTGCATATAGAGATCAACCAGGCGCGCGTGATGTTAGCCTCGAGTTCAGGACCGTATTAGAAGGAACAGGCTTCGCCTCTCCCTTACCCAGCCGGATTTACTTCCAGAGTGCTGCTGTAGTTGCCTCCGGTAACTCCACTGCAACAGATGCTCATTTCAGGGTGAGTTGATCTCGTGAAATCTACTCCCAACAGCTTTAAATACCACTCGTGACCAGGTGTCTCGAGTGTGTGTTCACCACGGAACTCTGTCAAAAGGCGAAACTGCATGCGCACGTACGATTACATGAAAGCAGTGTGTGTTTGTGCACATGGCTACGATTTGGCATGAGATTCAAGTCTCGGTAAATAAATAAATAAATGCTTAGCACGTCCACCTCCGGAGACACGTTGCAAAGTTATAAAACTTGTATTAATGTTGTCCTAGATTGCAATGTACAGACTCGATGGTGGCGGTCACAATGATGAATCTAAATGTACTCAAACACGAAAATAAGTGCTCACATCCAGACGGTATTTGTTACTCACCACTGCGTACAAAGTGTTGTAGGAAGGCCACTTTACACATTCGTGTCACACACGAACATGGTGTTCTAATTAAGCCGAGCATGATGACAATCAGAGATTCTTGTAATCGCTGCTCTTCTCCTTGCCTCATATTGGCATGTCAGCAGACTTGAAAGTTAATTCAAAATTATTTTTTTCTTCCTTGGTTCTTTCGGTAAAGTCACGTATAGAAGGGAAGTAATAAATAATAAAAATAAAACATAATAAAATCATTCTCACGACGTTTCGGCCACAACGCAAGCAGCTGTCCTCAAGGCGTCTGAATGAAACAGCACACGTGCTTGGAGCCTTGAGGACGGCTGCTTGCGTTGTGGCCAAAACGTCGTGGGAATTATTTTATTATGTTTTATTTTTATTATTTTATTACTTCCCTTCTACGTGACTTTACCGAAATAACCAAGAAGATGAATCCCTGCAGTCACGAAAGCTTTACATCGAAATCAACATTCTTTATTTCTATATTCAACATTCAACGTGACTGTCGTGTAACAATTTCTAATGGTAACATTTTGTTCTAGACCTTGACATTGATTGCGATGGTAGCGAGCGGCTTGAGTGTGGCTCTTCATTCCAATTAAGACCCTCTCATTAAAGCTGCGTCGTTCTGACAGAGCATGTGTATCTCTGAGTGTCATAATTGGTACTTATACAACCGTGCTTCTTGCGTTCGCAATGGTCAAACTTTAAGAGGCAGCGAGAAAACAGCAAATGAAGAAAACAGCAAGTGTGAAGGTGGATTGAAAATGAAAAACACGTGAGAAATACACCTGCAAAACGAGTCGCATTTAACAAGCGCACATCAACAGGAATCTCCGCACACTTTGCGTGCCACGATGCCGTCGCTATCCTCGCAGAGTTAATTTTTTAAAATGTTTTTCTGCACGCAAGGGCCTCGTATCCATTGTCGATCGCCTTCCACGTGGGCTCAACAGAGCCCAGATTGTGCAATTGCCATCCTCGCTTCATGCCACGAGTGTTTCGCCGTGCGGTTGGTCGGCACGCTGGGGGTTTCGCAATTCACACGCCGTCGGTTCGGTTCGATGTCCCGACAAGGGGCAGTGGAAGCAATGAGACGTTTCTTAAACCCCCCACCGCCCCACATCCTGGCCAGACGTTAGACGCGGGTTACGCCACAAGTTCGTACATCGGCAGGTCGTGCGTAGTGGGGTAAAGTGTGGGTACCCCCCCCCCCCCCTTCTATTCGCGACGTCTGACCCGGCGTTGAAGAGCAGGCCGATTGCCATTGTGGAGGGGCTCTCTAAAAAGCTACTTCTCTTGGAGGTCCTTCTGCAGGCAGTGGCCGTGAGCAAAGCACTTGCAGGTCTGCGCCTTTGCCATTGTTGTTACGTGAATGCCAAAGAGCCCAACGTGGAACCTCCATGGGGTTTGATCTTCCACGAGGCTCATGGTCCACCCTGAATCACGCTGCACTGCACACACCACGGGCAGATGCGGATACCTGATGCACAAATGGAACATTTTAGTCTGTCCGGTAACATGCGACTGTGGTCAACCAGAACGGAGCGTGCAGCGTATAACGACGCAGTGCCAGGTCCACAGATACGAGGAAGGAGACATCGCAGCGATGGCATTCCGTCTGACTCGACCACCTGAATGTGAAGTTGTAGTCGTTGCTCCGTGTCTACAGCACGGTACGGAATATATAACAATGGCATGTTTATTACGAGAGTGATAAAAACCGTATGTTACAACAGCAACAACAAAAACCACGATTACACCATTGGAACCTCATTTGCCAGTAAAAAATATATAATCGTTTTTTTACCCTTCTATCTGGCAACAAAACTGACACTTTTTTTACAAGGAGTCATGTTTGCATAGACCACAATACCTGCAGTCATAATGCCTTTTGGCGTCATCTGGTCCAACCCATGTGAGACTAGGCTCTAAGGAAAGCTGTCTCGGGTGTGGACCAATCAACTTCAGGGACAGTGCATACATTATCAGAGTTGTGTTTTTTGTTTGCATTATGACTGCAGGTATTGTGGTCAATGCAAACATGACTCCTTGTAAAAAAAGGTGTCAGTTTTGTTGCCAGATAGAAGGGTAAAAAAAACAATTATCAAAAACCACGATGTGGTGGCCCACTATCAGGCGCAGCTATCGTCAGCAGCTTTCACACCTCCCATGTTGGCTGACGACTGTGGAATCGACGAGCAACGCGAGAAAAGAGAACTGCGACAAATGGCAGCGATGGTGACAGCATGCAAACGCTGTCGTGAGTTCTAACGAGGTTGAGGCAGCCTTTGGCTGCTGCGTCAATAATAATCCGCAACATTTCGATTTAAAGCTTTCGTGACTGCAGGGATTCATCTTCTTGGTTCTTTCGGTAAAGTCACGTAGAATGGAAATAATAAAATAATAAAAATAAAACATTATAAAAATATATAATACAATAAAAATTATTTTAGATGTTTTATTTGTATTTATTCATTACTTTCCATTCTACGTGACTTTACCGAAAGAACCAAGAAGATGAATCCACAACATCACAACGCTCGGCCCGATGCAGCTGCTGGCTGTCGTCCCCAACAGCTGTGTGCAGAATGTTCGCAGGGTTGCTGACGTCTTCACGGCTTGCACGGAACGCTGAGATGTTCTGTGTGTGTGTGTGCGCATACATATAATCGTGATTTGTTTATGGCCTGCACACATTTTACGACTCTTTAATTGCCTCTCCAGCCAGCGGAAAGTGCTTGAATTTAATAAATAAAGCATCACGGTACAGAATATATAACAATGGCATGTTTATTATGGGAGTAAAAAAAAACCGTATGTTACAACAACAAAAAACCACGATGTGGTGACGCACAATCAGGCGCAGCTATTTTCAGCAGCTTTTATATCCCCCATGTTGGCTGACTGTGGAATCCACAGACAACGCTTAGGTGGATCACACACAATTCTGCGACTCTCCCCCTTCAGCCGTGCATCAAGGTTGCCCCTTTTAGCCCGAATCGTCAAGGAGAAGGTGACCCCATCGAGTGTGGACTAATCTCCGTCTGCCCCATCCGTAGAGGCTAAAGCATCGCACCCTTTGCACGCGTAGGATTTTTTTCTTCTCTTGGTGATCAGGTTTTTTGTTACCCACACGCATAAAAAAACGCCAGAATTGGTGGTTTAAAAAAACACATCTCGATATAAAACCGTGCAGTGCACGACCCCACGGTGAAAAGTCCTTGGACTCAGTTTGCCTCCCTGAGTAAAGGAGTAATTAATTATGAGAGCCTTACAAAAAAGAAAGAAAAACACATAATCGGTTGATGTTTGGAAAAGGTTCTCTTGCAAATATATTTCTGTTGGATACATATGTATTGTGTGTGTTTTAAGTCAGAGTGAATAACGATGCCCTTTGTTTATAGCCTCACACAGGGCCGCGTGCTGCTAATGAGTGTTTGGGAAGTGCAGGAGGGAATTGGATTAGCTGCTGAAAAACCAATGCACAGGACGGCACTACGCTCAAAGCTACGCACAGATAGAATCACGAATCCATTGTTGTACTGCCATCTCCTTTCGCGCCTCCAATCATCACGGTTGGCTAGGCACGGTGCGAAACCAGTTCAATAGTACATACATACATACTCCTTGCCACCTCATAGCCTAAGCCAATGGTACTTAACCTGGGGTGCGCGTACCTCCTGGGAGTGCGAGATGAGCCTTACTGGGGGATGCGAGACGTGGCCAGATTGTTTGTTTTAGAAGGTAAATCATCGACAACACAAATTAAGCACGGGCACGTAAATACAACTACTTTGTTTCATCAAACCGATGTTGTTTATTAACATTATAAAAAATGACGATTCAGAACCAGAGGGGTTGCAGGCTGCAGTAAAGATTAAGAACCACTGGCCTAAGCCTACAACGCATTGGTATTTCCAGGCAGTCTCCCATACAAGCGTAGTGACGACTTGACACACTTCTCTTGAGATGGCACTTTATTGAAGACACGGTCTACTTGACATCATGCGGAGAACCCCCACTGCGACAGCCCTGAGTCTCCCGCGCATCTCCCTTTTATATTCCGACACGAGGCCACGCCCCCCTTCTCGAACCTTCTCGCTGACTCTGGACGCTCGCTTCCACCGGCAGACTCCACTGTCCTCTTCCGTCGCCTGACCATGCTCCCTTCTCGAACATCCCCGTAGCCACCAGTCCCTTCGCACTCACAACTGACACCCCCTGTCATTAACTCCCGTGGCCACTAGTGCATTCGTACTGTAGGCTGACTCCCCTGTCATTACCTCCCGTGGCCACGAGTGCATTCGTAGTGTAGGCTGACTCCCCTGTCATTACCTCCCGTGGCCACTAGTGCATTCGTACTGTAGGCTGACTCCCCCGTCATTACCTCCCGTGGCCACTAGTGCATACGTACTGTAGGCTGATTCCCCTGTCATTACCTCCCGTGGCCACTAGTGCATTCGTACTGTAGGCTGACTCCCCTGTCATTACCTCCCGTGGCCACTAGTCCACTCACACCGCAGGCTGACTCCCCCTGTCATTACTTCCCGTGGCCACTAGTGCATTCGTTCTGTAGGCTGACTCCCCTGTCATTACCTCCTGTGGCAACTAGTCCACTCACACCGTATGTACGCTCGACTGTCATTATACAAGCGCTAACCAGGATCAAGTCTTGCTAAGCTACCGATATTTGAAGAGATCTTGTTCATTCAGCGTGGCTTTGTTGCTCGGATGAAGGCGATGAGTGTATTCGATGTGCGTGTACATCACTGCAAACACGGCCCCTTGATGCGCTATGTTCTATTGTGGAACGCTCCACTGTCTTCAATTAAGGGGAGTGCTCGTTTTGTATTGCATCCAAGCATCCGCCTGCTCATCTGCTGTCCGAGATGGCATCGTTTTCTTTGCACATTTAAAACTATATACATATATACAGCACATGTGTGTGTCCTGTTGAGGTTAGTCTGCAAGCACATGACCTGACCTAATGTACAGGCAGCGTTAAAAGATGTTATTTTAATAATTGTGCGGTTTTTATAGTTTGTTGACTCATCTTCAACCGCTCTTGCGTGTCACTCAGGTGGGATAATCGTCATCTAATGCGCAGTGCATTTGAGCCCGAGTGTGTTACCGTGAGCCCATCATAGTTCATTGCCAAGGAGATGATGATGATGATGATGATGGGCATCCGTGTACTTCCAGGGGGATGTAAAGCGTCTCTTATCTAGTATACACAACGCTGGCCTGGAACGGTGGCGCCACCGTTAACGCACTGCTCCGCCGTGTACCCAGTGACCTTGCTGTTAATGATTCCCAGCCACGGTCAGAACATTCGGTGGTGATCGATATCTAAAGCGGTCCTAGTCCACCATCTGCTTCACAAGCAACCATCCGCAGCGTGGTGAAATATGGTCAAACAACCCCCAAGATCGACGCGGAGAGGCCCTTTATCGTGTGGTGGATTGACAGAAGGCTGCACGTTGTGATTGGTTTTATTTATTTTTTAAAACGAGGCATGCCACTATTCCCACTCCTTTGTGAAGTTTACAATTTGGGATTCCATTGGTCAATTGGTCCATTTTATTTTTAAATTGTGTGAAATGTAGCGCCTCCAGTGGCCGCATATGACTACAACATTTTAAAATACGTACTGATTCTCACAGGACAGGATTCGATTATGCATATGTTCAGTTCTGTTCATGTATTAGGTATAGCCCTGTGAGCCATTCGGCTCTTGAATCGGGTGTAACCGCAACAAACAAGAACATGAACAAGAAACATCTTAAAGTGACTATGCGGAACAGAAAATTCCAGGAAAAAACTGTAAAATCTTCCAGAAAAAAAGCACCGTATATCAACGCTGTGTGCAAAAATCCCAGTGGGATGCAAGTCAAACAATAACAACCATAAGACAATTTAGATTAAAGTTATCAGTCTAACTCTGTACTACAACAAACAAATATTTTTAAACCAAAACTTTTCCAGATCACCAAAATAGAGCTATAAAAACAATGTAACAGTGGTCATAGGAACTGTGATTCAAATTTAACAATAAACGATATCCATCACACGTACGACCAAACTTTACAGCCATAGCTGGCAGCATGAGTCAATCCATAACAGCAGGAGTATCAGTAGGAGTATCAAAAAATGTCAATGCACCTTTAAAGATCAGCACACTAAATAAAAACTCAAGATCATACTTTGCAGCGGTCATCCGGAGCGATACATTTGATTTCAGGCCACTGAATAGCAGTGACAGCGAGGGGTGTACAACTCCTCTAGAGCAGTTTTGAGTGAAGATCTCACAGGTAGTGATCCAAGTTGCAGTTTATTGACGATAGCATTCCAGACCCTGGAGTCATCAATAGCAAAGGCCCTTCCTCCAGTATTTGTACGGCAATAAGGAACGAGAAGCTGGTAAATGAGCGAAGACCTTCGATCACATGTGTTCTTCGAAACAGTAAGGATATCCAGCAGGTAGTCTGCGGATTTTTTTGTAAGTACATCGTGAATAAATAAGTATGTTATGACTGTTATGATCGCATTTGTGATGGCTGAGTCGACGCATCGTTACACGCAAACTACACGCCCGGGTCATCTATCCTGGGCCGTCTGACAAAACATCTGACGTTTAAAGATTTTGTTCATACAACAACAAAAAACCCACAACCAGGTCGCTCTATATAAGAACGGGAGACACAGCAGAGCCTCACCATTCTGGCGAATTGCCCGATGATGCTGGATGCAATTACCAGCGAAACGTCGTACTCAAATTGTAAATGTTGTGGTTTCGCGCTTCAACACACCGGTGGGCTAAAGCAGTGAACTATTTGTCTTTTGTCAACGTGACACTTTTTTACTGATTGGCCGTGTCGGGTGGTGGAGGGTTACGACACATTTATAAATAACGCGATCTAAACCCAAAAACGTTGATTATGAATAATATTGGTCGCGAAAGCCTACGTGTTAAACAGGTCGTGACTTTAACGTTTCATCGGCCGCGCTCTGTCCGCTGCTGAATGGAGGCCTCCCCGAGCAGCGTGCTCATCTCTCGCGGTCTTTCAATGATAGAAATCCATCTCAAGAGTGCCCGACCGTCTTTGTATCTCCAGTAGCGATGTTTACACACTGCAACAGGTACTTATTTGAGGCTGAGTCAACCTAGGAGAGGCCCGAATCGTCACTGATGTTGGCCGTGAGGGGGATTCCAACTGTCGTCGCCGGGTTCGTAGCGCAGCGCGCTCACCAACGCGCCACCCCCGTGAGACGCACGTGGGGGACGTGTTTATCAATCATCGGGCACGTGCAGCGTGTGCAAGACTTTAGCTCGCACTTAAAGCACACAGGTCCTGTCGGAAAACGCGCGGTAAGGAAACAAAAACCCCGCACCGCGAGGATTCGTAAATGGGAACGGGCGTGACGCGTTCGCCCCCCCCCCCCCCCGCAGACAACAAACAAACGCCAGCCGGCTCATCCCACTCGGCACCGCATGCGAGCCACCACCTGCGGCTCCACCTTGAACTTGCGCTGGCACAGAATTCGCAGGAAGGCGCGCTTGAAGCGCACGTGGCACAGAGGGTACAGGACAGGGTTCACGGCCGAGTTGAGCCACAGGAGCCAGAAGGAGAACTCGTAGAGGCGGTCGTCCACGCACCGGCTGCGGCACGCGGCGCGGATGATCATGAGCAGCGTGTAGGGCGCCCAGCACATGGCAAACACGCACACGATGATGGCCAGGGACTTGGCCACGCGCTTGTCACGCGACAGGCGCACGCTGGCATCGGCGGAATGCGGGAGACGCGGGCGGGTCGCGCCGTACCTTCTCTGCTCCGCGCACAAGCCGGGGAAATCCCCTCCCGGGACGAGACCTCGGTCCTTCTCCTCGAGCCCCTGAAGCCCCGACAGAGGTTCCCGATTGACGCACAGGCCGACCACGTTGGCACGAGGTGTGCCCAGGCGTGCTACTCTCCCTGCTGCTGATGACGCTACCGAAGCTGCCGCTGACGAGGTCGCCTCTCCTCGGCGTGCGCAAATCGTTCTCCTGGTTTGTGCCAAACTCAGGGACACGTCCACCTCTACACTCCTTACGAGGAGCGGCGCCCTTCGACGGCCGTTCTCCCGCGAGCGAGGGCACCTCGGGCGTCCACGTGGCGCGACGTGGACCCGCGCTGCCACCGCGCCTCGCGTGCCGCTTGCGCGGGGAGGAATCCGCCGCCGCCGCCCTCTGGACTCTCTGATCCGCGGGACTTTCTTGGACGAAAAACACCGCGCTGGTGTGGACTCCGGCACCGCGGGGGAAGCCCTCGTCCGGCCGATCGCGGCCGGGACACCGGGCCGAGGTGGCGGCGGCGGCGGCGGCGGTGGAGGGTGCTGCTGCCTCGTCGCAACGGTCGGGTCTCGGCGTGTTCCTCCTCCTCCTCCTGATGTTCGAGTAGATCATGAGGTTGAAGTAGGCGACGCTCAGGAGCGGCGTGAAGAACTCGAAGGTGGAGGCGACGATGAGGAAGTACCAGTTGTAGTAGAACTCCGCGTAGCACTCGCCTTGCGGCACGACGCTGCGGCCAGCCACGTGCTCCCACGCGATGATGGCCGGGCCGTACAGCAGGAAGGCGGCCAGCCACACCGCCAGCATCTTGAGCACGGCGCGCCTGGGCATGCACTGCTGGGCCCTGTAACTCACCTGTGGCAACGTCACGGGGGGTGCACAGAACAAAAAACACGCGGCCGTTACAAAGGCCGGCACGCCGCGCGTTCATTGCATTGTTGCGATTTGTGTGGCGTGCGGTCGTGCAACTTGGGAGTACAAACGTGGGTTACCGCCGTCTTCCTAAATCAAACTAGACTCTTCTATTTAAAGCTTTCGTGACTGCAGGAATTCATCATCTTGGTTCTTTCGGTAAAGTCACGTAGAATGGAAACAATAAAAATAATAAAATAAAACATAATAAAATAATTCTCACGACGTTTCGGCCACAACACAAGCAGCCGTCGTCAGGTGAAGACCAGGTCTGTCGGGGAGACAGCGTCTGACGCTGTTTCCATTCTACGTGACTTTACCGAAAGAACCAAGAAGATAGACTCTTCTACTAAACAGTTTTTTTGTTTATTCCAGCAGGCAAGGCGCACTGAGCTATTTCGGCTCTTTTAACAGAAGCGACTTGTCTTCTTCTTGGTTCTTTCGGTAATGTCACGTAGAAGGGAAGTAATAAAATAATAAAAATAAAACATAATAAAATAAAATAATTCTCACGACGTTTCGGCTACAACGCAAGCAGCCGTCTTCAGGTGAAGAATGAGACACTACCAAGCTAGGAGCTTATATATACGCTGGGTTGGAGGTGCAAGAAGAGCGCCTTAACAAAAAGAATGTGCATATGAAGAGGAATTTAGCATATTCATGGAAAATGCGTAGGAGGTGGGTGGGGGGGTTTCATAGTCATATTATGCCCATGCATTATGCAGGATCAACAGCACCAAGGGGGGGTGCAGGGAGTAGCATTAACAAAGGAAAGGAATGTTAATAAAAGCGACTTGGCCACAATTGACAGCTCATCGAAGTGGCTTGCCACGTGGAAATGTATCGTCAGACACAGACTCCAAACGCGTGGTGATTCTAATTGTGAAATTGAAAATCCAAACGCAAACTCCACACGTGCAAGCGTCGGGGTCGAGATCGGACTCACGACCTCCTGTATACCAGGCGAGGTAGTTAACATCTCGCCACCGTGGCGCCCTCAATCATTTGCAACTCTTTGTCGAGCTACTGCTGGAGGAAGGCCTCTTCCGCGCCGTGCCGGTAACGGGGTTTTTTAACCATACTTCACCACACGTAGGCTATTATTCATAATCAACGTTTTTGGGTTTAGATCGCGTTATTTATAAATGTGTCGTAACCCTCCACCACCCGACACGGCCAATCAGTAAAAAAGTGTCACGTTGACAAAAGACAAATAGTTCACTGCTTTAGCCCACCGGTGTATTGAAGCGTGAAACCACAAACTTTACAATTTGAGTACGACGTTTCGCTGGTAATTGCATCCAGCATCATCGGGCCGTGTCGGGTGGTGGAGGGTTACGACACATTTATAAATAACGCGATCTAAACCCAAAAACGTTGATTATGAATACTTCACCACGCTGGTAGGTGAAGTCGGGGCCCCCAGGCCCAGTTATCATATCAATTGTCCATTAATCTCGTCGGGTATATGAAACCAAGCAGACTTGGGCACCGGTATAAAGCACTTTGGTGGGATACTTCTTTAAATGCCAGTTGTGGGCTTGAGCTGCAAGGTGAACTGGGGATAGCAGAGCAACGGATCCCCAATTCACCACCGTCTCTTCTTGATCCCTCTTCTCATTACGCCTCAATCTTACGTCCCAATTTCACTCATTTCTCGACATCTCTGTCCAGGGTCCATATTTCTACTGTCGCGAGTTTAAATACGGACAGTGGGGGATGACAAAACCCGAATTGCTTCTCAGTCCCCACAGGCTGGCCAACGCCAAAGATCCCCCGTGTAGCCTTAACAGAATGTAGGGGCAAGTGCTGTTAGCGAGCACCTATTAAGGGCGGCATGGCACACGAGGGGGTAGGTGGCCAGCACCACGCCCGGCCGCCTTTGTCTCCCCAGTGGCGATGTTTACACATCACAGCAGGTACTCATTTGAGGCTGAGTCGACCTAGGGGATGCCCACGACTTGTTCAAATAATCGCCACTTGTGTTTGCCATGAGCGGGAATCGAACTCGGGACGCACGGATTCCGTAGCGCAGCGTAGTGCTAACTGCTACACTACCGCTCCCCGAATTTTTGCTTAAGGTCCCCAGAGCCGGGCCTTCACCACCACTACCACTACCACCACCACCACTACCACCACCACTACCACCACCACCACTACCACCACCATTACCACCACCACTACCACCACCACGGTGTGCACGTAACGCACCGCTCTGGTGACGGAGAGAAATCTGTCGAAGCTGATGAGCACGATGTTGAAGACGGACGCGGTGCACAGGAGGTAGTCCATGACGAGCCACAGCTTGCAGAGGCCTCGGCCAAGGCGCCACTCGCCCGTGAGAACGTAGGGCACGTACAGGGGGATGCAGAAGCCTCCTGGAGCAACGGCACGATGGGGGAGGGGCGAAGGGGGAGGGGCGAAGGGGGAGGGGGGCGGTGACATGGCAGTTCGAGCCCAGCGGCCGCCCTGGTTTATACTGGGGATGTATGAAGCAAAAGTACGCACCGCCCCGATCGACGACACACCATCTATGACGATCCAAATGTTTAAGTTATACCTACTTGAAATATACGTAATTGGGTTAAGTAGTCCCCATTGAACATACAACGTTGGGTCAACGTTTGCACTTGGAAGCCCCGTTCCAGCGTTCCACGTGTACTGGGCCTTCCCCAGGCTGAGCAGCCAGCAACCTAGCGGCTCCCGTAATCACTTGCTCAACAACGCAATTACAAATTGTATTTCTAGAGCATCTAACGGGGTGGAGTGGTGGCGCAGTGGTTTGTGCGCTGTGCCATGAAACCCGCTCGCTGCGCGACCTACAAGGCCACCTGAGGCCGATTCCCAGCCGTGCCTAAAATTCCTTGGGATTGATATCCACAATGGGTGTCTGGTCGCCTCCTGTACCAAGCTGCACTGACCAGCATGGTCGAGGTATGGTCACGAAGCATGCAGCATCGCCCTCCGCTGTGAAACAGATCACCTCGCTGAGAGCCTTGCGCTCCAAGTGTGGCGCCATTGACGAAATGTACTTTTGATTTGACTCGATAACAATTCGCATTAATGGGGTGCGTACACGATTTAGAAACTTTAATTGCCTTAACATCTCATTCCCATCTCAAACGTTCCACCCCCCCCCCCCCCCCCCCAGCGGCATAAGCCCCTGTTTTGAACACGGTGTATGTGTACATGCAGCACCGGCCTGCAAGTAGATAGGAAATATTCCGTTGGGTTTTACTCAATTCAGTCATTTGCGAGTAATTTGTCAAATTCGGACTTTCGACTGTGTTTTTGTTTAAGAAGTGCACGCGACCAATCCCGCTCAGGTTGGTAGCTCAGTTGCACACACAGGGACAAGGACAACTTTCCACCCACACGGAGATTTTTACTCTCTCTGTCACGACACTATCGCTGTCGTGACAGCAGACAACAACATGGCATTAAGAAGTCTGAATTATAATCAAGCGTCAGTTGTGGGCAACACGAATCACAAAATTGAAATGATGTCCCCATTCGTGTTGATTCAGTTTCTTCGCTTAAACAAATTTAATGTATGTTTGACACGACCTCATTCGTCCATTAGCTTTCTGGGAGTCATAATTTCAGAAGCATGTATTGATTCGGTACAAGCAAACTCAGGACTGGTGATAAGACACTGTATAGATATTTGAACCAGCGATACTACACGACCCTTGCTGCTGCTCCCACCACCCACTAACATCATCTTCCCTTTAAACAAAAGTGTCGGGCACCTGTAAGCACTGTGGTTCATCATGCGTGGTAAGTGTAACATTTGATGTTTTATTACTTTACTTCTAAATTTTTATTTTTAACGTTAAAAAAAAGCTGTTCAAGGATGGAAAATTTTAGGGGCTAAAATGTAGCTCAGCCTTGAACATGGGGAGTGAGTCAATGGCACAGCCACGATTGTTTAACGAGTTTTCGTTCACAGAGCAATTTCGCAGAACGTATCTCGCTCGTTAAGCGAGACACGCCTATATGAAAGTAATTACGCCAATTACTCAACAACAAGAACACGTGACACATCATCTGTGTAATTAATAACTGCTACGAATTTACAATTCTAACCATTGAATTTGTTATTTCCTCGTCAGAAATTTTCATAATGAAAAAAGAATCATGAAAATACACGAGCAACGATCATCCGTATACAACGATGTCTTTCAAAACGGACGATTCGGAATATCAGCACGAACATCCCTGCACCACCCCCCCTCTACCACAGCAGATCAGCGGGCGAGGGTCAGCAGCTGGAGACTTTTTTTCCCCCCAGAACTCATTCCCCGGGGCAGCCTTTCTGCTCGCGTCAATTCCCTGGCGAACAAAACAAGGAATAGCCAGAAGGGGTTGTTTTGTGTTTTGTTTAACGAACCCACGAGCAAGTCGGCGATGGCCAGGTTGAGGAAGAAGAAGTTGGCGTGGGTGCGCAGTCCCCGGTCCACGGCGAAGGCGAGGATGACGAACGCGTTGCCCACCACCGTGGCGAGCATCAGCACCACCATGAGCGCCGTGAGCAGGGCCTCCTGCCCCGGGGTCCAGGACGAACCGGGCGGCCACAGCAGGGCCATGCCGCGGCCTCCGGCGACGTGGACCTGCGAGGCGGCAGACCCGGGGCTTCCTCCGCTTTCTTTGGGGAGGCCCCCGCTATCGGGCGGCCATGGCCACGATGGGGGCCCCGCGTCCGGAGAGCCGTTGCGCATCGTCGGCACGCGGCGGTGACTGGCAGCGAGCGATCAGTGAGCCTCTGCTGTCATGTGCGATGCCGCGCGGAGAGCCGTCGCCGTCGGTGTGAGTTGGAACCAGAGGCTTAGCTCGAGAGCTGTACTCGTAACCAGAGGTTTAGCTAGAGAGCTGGACTCGGACCAGAGGTTGAGCTATAGAGCTGGACTCGGACCCAGAGGTTTAGCTAGAGAGCTGTACTCGGACCCAGAGGTTTAGCTATAGAGCGGTACTCGGACCAGAGGCTTCGCTCGAGAGCTGTACTAGAACTAAAGTGATGTACTAGAACCCAGAGGCTTAGCTAGAGAGCTGTACTCGGACCAGAGGTTTAGCTATAGAGCGGTACTCGGACCCAGAGGCTTAGCTATAAAGCGGTACTAGAACTAAAGTGATGTACTAGAACCCAGAGCCTTAGCTCGAGAACTATACTGGGACCACATGCTTCGCTATAGAGCTGATCTGGATCTATAGAGCTGTACTGAACCACAGGGTTAACCATAGAGGTGTACATAAGCTAAAGGGTTAGTTATAGAGCTGTACCAGAACCAGAGGGTTAACTATAGGGCTGTACTGCCACCAGATGGTTAGTTATAGAGTTGTGCCTGAACCAGGGGGGTTAGCGAAAGAGCTGTACTAAAACTAGAGGGCTGTACTGGAACCAGAAGGTCAGATACAGAGCGGTACAGGAACAAATCGAGGTGCAGCTACAACCTTGGCTGTAGAGTTGCATGCTGGAGAGGCATATATCGACAATGTATTGCAGAGCAGAGCTGAAACTGACTGAACAGCAGAGAGCTTGATGTTGATATCTGTCGTCTGCAATAGGAACAGCACCTTGACAAATACAATGCGACTCGGAAATCATTAATCCAGCACTGCGCGGCTGTTAAAGTGCCAAACTGAACTTCAGTCGCATTTCGTGGACCATTTTATAAGCGCGTACTTTTTGTTAAAGAACAAACGGAACGTGTGTGTGGTTGTTGTTTTTTTTACCCAGCTTTTATATTACCAGAGTAAACGCTGCGATGAGCTGTTATAAAGCTGTAACAGCTGCTGTTAAGCCACCTTGTTTCACGGCAATAACAAACTTTCAAATGAGTGTCCGCTTGAGTTTTGACGACACCTAAGCCCTAAAAATGCACACCTATTAAAGCTCACAATTGCTGGCAGGATAATGTTAAACGTACACTACAATTCTGCTCGTTGCTACTCTGTCCGAGACGTCTGGGCAGCATGCAAGAGAGGGTTAAATTCCCTCCCTGTGGAGGAGTTCTTTGGGAGTCCTTCCCTGAGCAGTGTCGTCTACTGGAAATTGCAGAGCTGCGCCTTTAACTTTCAATGCATCGCATATGTCAAATAATACGATGCATTGTCAAACACAGCGCTCCGTGATCGCATGTTGTAATAAGTAATAAATAAACGCACTCGCAAAAATTTCCCTCGGTTCTATTGAAAATAAAATCAACATTCAAAGAATTGCATTGCAAATAAAATGAATAGAAGACTTTAAAACATACAATTAAAATTTTTGTTGTTGCGAATATCAACAACGGCGGAGCGCAGGTTTGACCGAACGCAATCGCTCAGCAGAGCCTTCGAGTTATACGCTCGCCTTCTCTAAAGTGTCCTCTGTCAAGGTCCCCCTTATATACTCCGTGCGACTGTGTGTGTGTGGTTGTGCATGAGAGCGAGTCACAGTCTGTTCTTTGGAACCACTCATGGCCCATCGGCGCTCGCGTGGATAGGCTGCGCTCATTCAGCGCACATTGTATTAAGATAATGGGCACACTTGTCCAATGTTACATTTCTATACCTCGCCGAGATGCATGCAGTGGTTCTGCAATAACAGCAAAATGCTGCACAGGCAATGCATGACATGCATAACTCCCAGGGTACGTTAATATAGAGTTATTACGGATAGGCGAACGAGAATAGACCCTTACACTGATTATCCATAGCCAGCCAACAAAAGATTATCGAGTGAAAAATAAAGCCCTTGAAAGAGGACATTCTAACACCAGGTTTGCACAAGCAGCGAGGATAGAGGGAAAATATTGGATTTTACTACAACCTTCAAACACATTTAAACATCCATAATAGAATTTTTTTGGGTTATATCGCGTAAATATATAAATGTCGTTAAAACCCGCCACCACCCGACACAGCCAACTAGTAAGAGTTGTCACGTAAACAGAACGTTCTAATTCGTCACTAGTACAGCGCACCGGTGTGTTGGAGAGCCAAGCCACAACATTTACCATCTGAGAATAACCCTTACTAGTTGGCTGTGTTGGGTGGTGGCGGGTTTTAACGATACATTTATATATTTACGCGATCTAAACCAACAAAAAAACCTCTATTATGTATGATATTGGTCGCGAAAGCCTCGGTGTTAAACAGTTATTTGTGATTAAAACTGGGTCTTCAAGTGTAGTGGGTGTATTGTCTCAGCCCAGTCACCAATGCCTACATGCCATTTGTTTTCATGTATTTTTTATTCAATTTAGTTCTCTGCTTAATTTGGCCAAAGATCAGCTCTGAACATGTTATATTGGTTTGACTGTTGTGTGACAACCATGACTTTCATAGGCAGAGTGGGTGGGAAAGTGCTACCCTCAGTGCGGACCAAAAGTTAATTGAAGGGATATCAAAGGTAGCTCTGCCAAATCCGCTTTCAAAAGGCCATTCTCTAACATGAAGGGTTGCATCTCTATGAGAATAATTAAAACGGACAAGTTGTCTATTGACACGATTCCTATCTGGATAAAAGTGAAGACAACTGACAATTTTTTTTTTTACAATATTTATTAGATTATTGTCTTGTCAGATAAATATATTTTATAATCATGTTGTGTATACGCGCCTGGGGGCCTGTAAATACCAATGTCTAATTTAAAGCTGTGATTAATATTAAGGCAGAACGGTGGCGGCAGTAATTAGCACATTGTGATATGAACCCGACTGACCTGAGTTTGACTTCCCGGCAGTGATATCGGAACTGGTCCTCGTCACCGACCAACTTCACCAAGCCGCACTGAGCCAGTGCGGTGAAGAATGGTCAAGCAGCGCCTATTCATCCAGCAGTGGATTGACAGAGGCGCTGTAAGCTATTATAAATGCACAGCTTGCTATATATTGTTAGGTTTTTTCGGTAAAGTTACGTAGGTAAAAAAAAAGATTTTTTTTTGCCTACGTGACTTTACCGAAAAAACCTAACAATATGAATCCTTGCAGTCACGAAAGCTTCAAATCTAGAGCTTGCTATATGTCTCTCTCAGCATTAGGTTCCTCTTAAAATATCCTTCTGTGCCACCATGGGGCGCCACGGTAGCGAGATGTTAACTACCTCGCCGGGTATACAGGAGGTCGCGAGTTCGATCCCGACCCTGACGTCTGTTGCATATTTGGAGTTTGTAAGTTCTCCTCGTGGTCGTGTGGATTTTTCTCCGGGCCCTCCGGTTTTTCCCACCAGATGTATAAACGTGCGCTTAGAGAATGTAACTGCTATAAATGTCCAACGTGATAAGCCACTTCGTTGAGCTATCCTTTGAGGCCAGGTCGCTTCTGACAAAAATAAGCTATAAATCTCAGTGCGCTTTACCTGGTAACATCAAACATAGTTTGCATCTCTAGACAGACACCAAACCCGCATGGAAAGCAGACAATCCCAATTCACTACATCGCCCTAATTACGCCTTGGTTAGAGGGCATTTGTGGGCATGTGGCTGCATGGGCGTTTAACCTCCTTGCTACGACGCCCACCCCCACCTCAATCAAGGCCCACTGGCCCCCCGCATCACCGCACCTTCCCAGCCCCCATCCATTCGCTACCCCGACAGGCAACGAAAGCCATGATGCACAGATTGCGTGTCATTGCCTCGAGTCAACACGGTGTTAGGCATTTGTTTTACATTGTGCATTCGTGCGCTTTGTGCGAGTAAGGCACGTGTTCCGTGTTTTGTGTCAGTAAGGCATGTTTCATGTTGTGTATTCGTGTTTTGTGCTAATACGGCATTTGTGCCATGTCTATTATAATCCTGTCTCTATTCTGTGTTATTGTCCCATTCTACTCTTTAAAGGGCCACTGTTTGTGATTTAACAATCATCAAATTCATCTTCGCTGCTTTCATGCTACCAAAGCCTGTTATGGACATCTTCAATCATTCGTATCATGTTCTTTCATTCATTTTCGCATTCTGTTCCTAATGGTTGTACAGAGTTATCCACATTTAATCATTTGTTTGGCATTTCCAGCCATTATTTTCCTGTTTGTCATTTAACACGGTTTTTTATGGTTGCAGATCGTCTTTATTATATATAAAACGTTGCACCGCAACTTCAGTTCACTGTCCATTGCAATGTTAATGGTTCAATTCGTTATTTGAAGGGGTGACATCCATTTAAAAAAAATTCATCATTAATTTTGCTTCTCCTTGGGATTTGAATCTGCTCTGCTCCTTCGAATTAGTCTCAATTTCCCTACTTCCCAGACTAGATTCTTTGATGCAAGTCTTCTTCTTCTTCTTGCCTCTAATTAGCTTTGTCCAAAGACAATGTGTTTAATTTGTGTAGTGAAGACTTGACACACTTCTCTTGAGATGGCACTTTATTGAAGACACGTTCTACTTGACATCAGGTTGGAAACCCCCACTGCGACAACCCCGAGTCTCCCGCGCATCTCCCTTTTATATACCGACACGAGGCCACGCCGCCCTTCTCGAACCTTCTCGCTGACTCTGGACGCTCACTCCACCGGCAGACTCCACCGTCCTCTTCCGTCGCCTGACCACGCTCCCTTCTCGAACATTCCCGAAGCCACCAGTCCCTTCGCACTCAGAACTGATACCCCCTGTCGTTGCCTCCAATGGCCACTAGTGTATTCGTACTGCAGGCTGACTCCCCTGTCATTACCTTTCATGGCCACTAGTGTATTCGTACTGTAGGCTGACTCCCCTGTCATTACCTCCCGTGGCCACCAGTC